GTATATGCCTTTGTATTCTTATTAAAAGATCTTCCTATTCGAAACCAAGTGACTTAAATTCTTCTTTAAAAAAATTATATCACAATTAATTTAAAAACAAAATGAAAAAAATTTATTTAAATAGAAAAATTTTTTATGTAAAAACACTTCGCGCTGCTAGTTCTCTATCTCGATGTAATAAAATACAATAACAAAGATAAGAAACATTTTCACGAGAATTAAAGTATTTAGTGTGTATATGTAGTAGCCAGCGATGGACAATACTTTAATTAATCTATTCATTCATTTTGTTTTGAAATAAATGCATTTTTGAACACAAAAAAACGGACCTAACTAATTTGTACTCCCAATAGAACTAGAAATTTGTTAAACAAAATTTGCAAGAAAAGATATAGAAATAAACAAAAATTAGTTGAAAATTATTTTTGTGTAATTTAATAAATTAAAATGTATTATCTAAAGTAATAGGTCATGTTTAAAGAAATTGTACACGTATCGATCGTGTTCTATTCAAACCCGAAACGAAGGAATTCCCTGAACGTTGGTTCATTAAAATGTTATCATTCTTGTGGAGTATTGGCGGTTAGGAGTTTGATCGATACCTTGCCGGCGTAACTTGCAAGTTTGTGAAGCAATCACGCATTCATAAGGTGCCTTTGCATCTCATGATACTTTAACATTATTATCGTATTCCACATATATGTTTTAATTCGTATATAGAATAGATAATAACTATCGCACTTTATTTCAAATAAATGTTTTAGTTAAATAATTTATGTAAATCTATTATATCTAAATAATAAGTATTTAATTATTAACGCAATAATTTTTGGAAAAATTTTTACTTTTAAAAAAATTTCTGTTTAAAATTTTAAATAATAATAAATGTTCTATCAAATTTTGTTTGTGTCGTATATTTACCTTTTGCGCTAAGTCCAGTGACATTATATTGTCCAGGCCCAGGTCCAGAGCTATTATTTTTCGCTGCATGCCTAAAAATTTGCGAGATATCAGATCATATATAAAATTAAGTTACGTATTGCTTACTTAAATTAAAAAGAAACATAAAACATATTTTAAAGATGTGTAAAACAAAATTACAAACATGACACACAGCTCCGTTTTCTTAAATATAATGCATTAAGGTTCTTATGTATTGTTCTTACAGTATTAAGGTATAAGAGAAATTTACAAAAGAACTTATAAAATATGTTGTAGATTAAATTTAAATTTATTTTGGATTTATAATATCGTTTTAGATTTACCTATTGCCGAAGGAGAATGCTGGTGCTCTTCCTTGTTTAGAATCTGTAACTGTTCTTCCTACAAATGTTATGAAATATTGCTGTATAAAATATATACAAAATATAATTAAAAGTAAGGATGTGAATTTCAAAAATGAACATCAAGAGATGTTCATGTAGATTATACAAACAGATGTTTGTGTATATTATACATTTGTTCAACTGTCCATTCTTGTTACATAATAATCTTTGATAAAATCAGAACAATGACAACTGAATAATAAAAAAATATGAATTGTCAAAATATATATACAATACTTAAATACGAAAGCATTTGTTCTTTTAGTATAATAATATTGAAAAATCTTTAAAAAAAAGTCGGAATACGTTTTGAAATACAAAGAAATAAAATCCTTCACAAAATAGAAAATTAGATTGGATTTATTGCGTGCACTGAATCAAAACTGTACGTAAATACAATAATATTTATTGAATTAATGAAAATTGGTCCAATAAATTTTCATAATATAATTTATGTACATTATCAAGCTTACTTATAGAATTCATTGCAAGAAATTAAATATTTAACAATATCAAATCTTATTTGGACCGTGAGAGTTTCAAACTGAATACCGATGAGAATAAGCCTTTTACGGTTAAACTGGATCTTGGATGCTTCTAATATAATTTTCGTATGAATTTATATACTACGTATGTAGATTCCTAAATGCGCATCAAAATTTTTTCAGACTTATAACGCAAACTAATAAAACTACCGCAGTACTATCACGAGTTAAGGACGTTCTCCGAAAAATCCGTTTTCTTTAAGTTTTTCTGAACTTACAGAAAAAGCTTGTTTTAGTGTTCTGAACATGTGTTTTGAAGCTCAGTACCCGAAGCGGGATTAAAAATCGAGATATTCCACTTCAAAGTTGAAGGGTTTAACATAGGATCCCTATCTGAAATTTATTTGAAAGTGGTCTTTGTATTCACTGTAAAAAAGTTTTTCTTTACAATTTTTTGAAACAAAGAGACATAAAACTCGATATCACAAGGAATGATATGATATTTTCCTGAATATGCCTTTCGGTATTCATTTTTAAGAAACCATTTAGCAAAGTAGCTCCGCTATGTTTTCGACCGGCAGCAATAGCGAAAGCGAGAGAGAAACGAAACAAGTGAAAGAGCGGAGTGGTAGTCAACTATTAGGGTGCTGTCACATGCGGCGTAACTTGCGTAAGCGTAACCTGTGTATTCGAGTAAATTTTCAGAATACGTATGTTACGTTATGCTATTCTTTGGTCGGGATTCACATAGGGCGTATTTTACGGAATTGCGTAAAATGTGTAACTAATACAACCAATCGCTAATTAGGGTTTCCGTTGTACATTCTAACAGAAATTCTAAACGATCTTATAATTGGTTTTCGTAACCTACGCATCGAAAAATACGCCCTATGTGAATCCCGACCAAAGAATAGCATAACGTAACATGCGTATTCTGAAAATTTACTAGATTACACAGGTTACGTTTATGCAAGTTACGTCGCATGTGACGGCACCCTTAAGGTACTTTTTCATGCGCAGCACGCTACAGCAGCAATTCGTTACTATTGGTTAAGAATTTTATGTAAGCTAGATGACGTACTTCCGGCGCAAATACATTTTGCCGCAGTTCGTTGAAGTTGAACCGAACGAACAGCAAGCAGCAAGCGGCAAAATCGAGAAAGCGTACAATATGTCCGTCGTTTCATTATAAAAATATTATTTATTGCAATAAATATTAGGAAAATAAACGAAAAATAGCTTCGGATAAGGTACGGATACATGTTTGTAAGCAATAAATAATATTGCCTCGATTTTGCCGTGAAAAAGTAAAGTGTAAAGTATAAAATGACCTAATTTACAAACATTCGTACCTTATCCGAAGCCATTCTTCGTTAATTTTCCTAATATTTATTGCAATAAATAATATTGCCTCGATTTTGCCGCTTGCTGCTTGCTGTTCGTTCGGTTCAACTTCAACGAACTGCGGCAAAATGTATTTTGCGCCGGAAGTGCGTCATCTAGCTTACATAAAATTCTTAACCAATAGTAACGAATTGCTGCTGCAGCGTGCTGCGCATGAAAAAGTACCTTTAAGCGGGGAGCACAGACTTTTGGGTAACGCATAAAGCATGTGCATAAGGAATTTCATTGGCCCATTTTCTTATGCATGAGTCAATGGACTAATCAAATTCTTTATGTATATGGTTTATGCGTTATGCAAAAGTCTGTGCTCCCCGCTTTACTGTCTGTGTGTAGGGGCGATTGCGTGGACGCGAGTAAACTTTAGGTTGAGCACAACTGCAGTCGGAGAACGTCGATCCTTTAATTGAACTAACAATCTAACCATTTTGATGCTCATTGCATCTTGGATCTTAATAATATGTTGAATGACATATTAAACTCTATGAATGACATATTAAAAATCTGTAAATAATTTAATTACATTGCGAAAAATATTACCTGGGCCACAGTATAAGTAAGTACAGTAGTTTCACTCCGTGTCGGTACCTTTGATCTATGTGTCCTACAGTCAGCCATGTTGTTGATTGTGCGAGGCGCTTTGTTTTCACTGCACACATCGCCACCACAGCGACACACAGTGACACAGTATCCATACGTGACATCGACGCCATGATGAAAGTAGTGCGATTCGAGCATGCGTTAAGACATACTTTTACCCATAAATTTTGGAGAGTGAAAATACTATACTTACCTATACTGTGCCTGGGCCCTGGAGTCGAATCCGGATCGCTTGCTTTACGCACAAATGAATTGCTCTGTGCAAAAAGGGTACTAAGTCCATTTTTGGCGAAATTGAGATAATGATAAATTCTTAATTTTAAAGCCCAGATCTATCGTTTGATACATATTAAAGTTGTTAATCTTCATTTCCTGTTGTCCGATTTATGCAAAAAGGGATCTAAGTCCTGGACTTAGATCCCTTTTTGCATAAATTGGAAATTTAATGTCTTTATATCGCGTGTTGTATAATATCAAATATGAACGATTTAACATCATTGTTATTAAGCAGGGTCTGTTTACTAATAATGATTCGCTCTTTATCTTTCGGAAAACTTATAATTAATTAACTTATACTTAATTTTCTGGAGTACTATCTGCTTATAATTTTATAGAAGAATCCGTAAAACACACGTTCTCTTTGCGAAAACGGTCAATTTTGCAATTACCCACTGATGCAGCTTACCCTAGCGGCCAAGTTCCGATAAAAAAAGCAAAAATTTATGATTTAAAAAAATTAGGACAATATATACCCGATAAATATTTAGATTTTTATAATTCTCTGATCGAGTGGCCTATTATTACTAATGAGATAGACGAAGATAATTGTGATTAAAACATCCTAGAATATAATTATACTGTTGCCAATAAATTGCAAATAAAAAGTTAGATTTATGTCATAAAATGCTTTGTTTTATTTCGATTTAATCGTGATCCATGCAAAAAGAGCACTAAATCCACTACTGTTTTTTATAATTATTTAAAACACCCTTTAACTTTAAGCATAAAACCATGTATGTATTATTGTAATTGCATAAAAATGACATTTCTGTTGAATAACATTTCTATTATTCATTCTGTATGTAAAGTAAATCAGTTTTTTTCATTTTTCCAAAAACTATCTAAAATGACTTAGTACCCTTTTTGCATGGATCGATTCAAATGTCCTAACCATAATTAGACTATCGAGGTACTTGCGCGTAAAGTAAGCGATCCGAGTTCGACTCCTGGCCCAGGTAATATTCTTCGTAATGTAATTAAATTATTTATAGATTTTTAATATGTCATTCATAGAGTTTAATATGTTGAAATAGTGAGATGGCGCTTCAATCTTATCTAGTTCTTTTTAGTTCCTTTTTTAGTTTAACGTACATATATACTTTGTCTAACCTTTTTTATCTCTATGTTGTACTTTCTTATAACTACTTGTTTCATGTTCCATATAACTTACTTACTATTTCAAATAACCGTCTAAGTGTAACTGTCGACTTGTTCTCATATATATGCTGTGCATTGTTCTGTACTGACATCAGCCTTATTCAATAAAACGGTTAAAAGGTTTTAACATAATATGTCATTCAACATATTATTAAGGGCTACGGCAGAGAACGAGACGTAACATGCGTAGTCGTAACGTAAGATAAGGCAGAGAAATACGTAGCTGTCGTAGTAGTGACTGCCAGTGCTGCCAGTCACTACTACCACAGCTACGTTTTTCTCTGCCATAGGGTCTGAGCACAAGCACTGCCGTAACATTTTACGACACACTTAAGTTGTAGACGTAAATAACGCACACGCTTTGGCGTATCGGCGTATGACGTGTTTATGCACACTGTCGAAAGATATGGCAATAATGTACATAAACACGTCATACGCCGATACCCCAAAGCTTGTGCGTTATATATGTCTACAACTTAAGTGTGTCGTAAAATGTTACGGCAGTGCTTGTGCTCAGACCCTTACCTTACGTTACGACTACGCATGTTACGTCTCGTTCTCTGCCATAGCCCTAAGGCTCCTGAATACTCAGTCAAGAACTCCGTGTTGATGGTAGCGACACCGAAGTAGTCGATGGCCTAGCAAAACTGATAGTTATACACGCAAATGCAAGCTTATGTCCGTGTGCTCATTTTCGGGCCGAAGGCGAGCACACAGACATGGATTCATGCTTGTGTATGTGTATAGCGCCTCGCCATGGTAAAAGGCTGAACTAATAGGCGTGGAAAAGTGATGTTTTGACCAGTTTTGACGATAAAATTTTTCTTGCGTGCCATTTCGTCAATATTTGCTTATTTGTGACTTCCCTCGTACTCGTGAAAATCCTAAAAATTGGCGGAAACTGCAATTATCGTGAAATTTTATACGTAAAAGCGTATATTTCACTCGTTTCATCAGCTGTTAAACTGTGTGATTCTGCCTGAGTATAGGCTCACTTTACGTGCCTTTTATGATTATTTACTGACTATCAGAGGAGGAAAGGATAGTTTCCGTCAATTTTCACAAGTGTTTTTGAACGATCTCGCCTTTTAAATTTATCCAAATTGTCTTTATTAAAAAATGGGACGCAAGAAAAATTAATGTGTTTTTCTCGCCTATGACATCACAATTCCAACATGGCCGTCGCCGGTATTTAGGAGCCTTAAGATCCAAGATGCAATGAGCATCAAAATGGTTAGATTGTTAGTCAATTTAACTCGTAATAGTGCTATTAGTAGTTCTATTAGTTTGCGTTGTAAGTCTGAAAAAATTTCGATGCGCATTTAGGGATCTACGTAGTATATAAATTCACATGAAAATTATATTAGAAGCATTTAAGATCCAACTTGACCGTAAATGGCTTATTATTCTTGTTGTATTTAGTAATAAATATTTAATTATATATATATTAATAAATCTAGTTATATATATTGTATTAATAAATTAACTTCATTAAGTTGGACATTGATTAACGATTATTTGTTAAATACAAATTTTTTTTTAGTGTATTAGTCGAATTGTTTACATGGCTTTAAAAGAAACTAAAAAATAAGTGTAAAGTATTAGGTGTGTCGAAAAGATCCGTCCGTCTTTATGCAAAAAATATGACTTTATTTAAGAAACAAAATGAAAACGTACATCAATTAAAGTATTAGTCATCGTTAGATATGACTTTTTCCTATCTTTCTGGTAATAAGTGGATCCCACGGCGAAAGAATGATTCATCTTTAGAGGCTATCCAGTTAGAGACCCATTTTTCAACGGTTTCATAAAAGTTAAAGTGTTCCTCTGCAAGTGCGTATGCCATCGACCGAAACAAGTGATAGTCGAAAGGGACACAGTCTGGTGAATAAGCCGCATGGGGTAGCACTTCCCAGCGAAGTGCTCCTAACGTTTCCTTAACGAATTTTGTGACGTTAGGTCGAGCGTTATCATCAAGGAAGATCACTGTATGCTGTCTCGTTTCATATTCTGGTCGTTTTTCGTGCAATGTTCGGCTCAAATGGATAATTTGTTCTCGGTAGAGATCTCCTGTGACTGTTTGACCAGATTTCAGCTCATGGTACACTACACCCTTTTGATTCCACCAAATACAGAGCATTGCCTTCTTTTCGTGGATATTCCACTTTGAGTCGATGGTTGGCCTGGATCGCAAATAGTTTTTCGGCGTTTGAGGTTGTCGAAATAGATCCACTTCTCATCACCAGTCACAATTCGGTGCAAAAATCCCTTTCTTTGTTGACTAGCAAGCAAAATTTCGCAAGTAGTTTTCGTTTTTCAATGTCTCTTGGCTTCAATTCATATGGGACACATTTTCCTTCCTTGTAGAGACCTTTCCCAAGGCTTTCAAACGATCGGAAATAACAGATCGAGCACAATTTAATGTTTCTGCAAGTTGTTTTTACGTTTGATATGGGTCTCCATCCACTAATGCCTGCAATTCTTCGTCTTCAAATACTTTTGGCCGTCCAGAACGCTCTTTGTCCTCCATCAAAATCACCACTTTGAAAGCGTCGAAACCATTCTCTGCATGATTTATCGGAAGAAGCCCTATCATCATAAACTTCTACAAGCATTCGATGAGCTTCAGCTGCAGTTTTCTTCCATTTGAAGCAAAAGATTAACACTTCGCGCAAATGACGGTTATTTGGCTAAAATGACATTTTCGATGCAGTAAAAAGCAATGTTATTGATGCAAACGTATACTTTTATATACTGAATTTTATTGACAGATGGTAAAACTAAAAAGTTCAGTTTGGTTTAGACTGTGGCGACCCGCCACCAGAGGTCCAAGGAAGAGACTCGCGCCAATTCTCGCATGTATTCGAGATACGCGAAATCCTTTCATATAGAACCTCGATCTAATTGTAAGACTCCCCCAGGAGTCTAAGGCAGGCTCCCACTAAAATGCCTTACTGACGAGTCCAGTAGGACTAGTAAGGACCGGGACGAAACGCCGCGGTAGATGACAACATTTCGCATAGGTCTACAAGGGGCTAAAGAGTTATCGATAGTTCTAGCTATAACTACTCGCCGCTAGATGGACGGAACTTTCCGACACACCTAATATTAATTACAGGCGCGATTTTAAATCATATGCAATTTCACGATTAAAAACTCAATTACATATCGCACTATGATTTAAGAGAAAAAAATCGCAGTGCCTGAAATATATCGCAAAATCGTACATTCTTAATTAGCAGTATTATAGAAAAGAGAAACACTAAGGTTAGATTCGGGGAGACGCTATTAGCGCTATTTGTTTCATTTTATCTTCGTTGTCCATTAGACGTGAGACAAGGACGTACCACACAAATGGTGCTAATAGCGCGCTGCCCGAATGCAGCCTAAAATATAATGAATTTTTAAACAAATAGGTATGTATAGTTAAAAAATTAAAACAAAATAAAGACAGAGACAGAGAATTTTAGTACATAAAGCCAATTATTATTTATTAATAATTGCTTTATAGTATTGTACTATCTTTGTGTGCGAAGAAATAGATATAATATAAAAATTACCTATTAACGAAGGTAAAGTTACACAGGCCGGTCCTGGGCTGCTGTATTCAGCGGCAATCGGGCCTCGTCTTTTTGTAGGTGTCCAGGGTCTTTGCGTTATTCCAACCATTTTACTCGAAGTACGTACCTCCTTTTTTCTATCAAAATTTATAGTATAATTACGATAAAAAGGGAATAATCTATAATTAAATTTTATAGAAAGGTACACGGAGGAAATTATTACATTTAAAATTCCCAGACAGCATGCTTGTCAGAATGAAAACTTTAAGAGAACTTTTTCAAGAGAACATTTAGTTATCTTTAAAATAATGTCTAAACGATATCTCATAATAATCATTTATTAGAGAATCTACGAAGAGAACTCTTTAAGATATCCGATTTGAGAGATGTCTTGAAATTGTTATCTTTATGATGTCATGCTAAATGATATTAGTTTGTTTTCTCATAAAAGATATCAATATGTTGTATGATTTTTGACAGTTCAGAAACGAGACATAATTATGATATCTTTTATGAGAAATTCATTTGATGTTACTTATTAGGAAAGATTCTGTTTCAGAGATGCCAGAAGGTTTGTAGATTATCGCGCCAACGTTCTGTGAATTCATAATCTTGCCATTCACTTCATCAGGGCGAGGAGTGCAGTGATACTTGTAGCAATTTCGGGTGGGATGCACTAGTGTACACTGGTGCATGTTAAGTCCGTGTACAATGTACATGTTCGTGCATATGTTATATCCGTGTACTGCCGCGGTGGTAGATTAACAGTGTACAACGGTTTTAATATGCACCAGTGCACACTTATTTTCCCAGCCGAAATCGCTAATAGATACGTATCAGTGCATTCCTCGCCCTGATGAAGTGAACGGCAAGATTAATTAATTCAAACCTGTAAACATAACCTGTAAACTCTCTTTTTAAAGAAATTTATATATTAACATATAACAGATTTCTTTAAGACATCATAAATATGAATATATATGTTAATCATAAAGATGTCCAATTTAAGAAATCTTTTAAATATCATTTTTGTGACATCTTTCTGTTCTCAAAAAACGACGCATTAGATAACATTCAGTTATCTTTATGTGATCTTTAAGAAGTTTCTCTAAGTTATCAGATTCAGAAATAAGATATCTTTTAGAAACCTTTTGGATAACATATTGTTATTTGGGTTACTATAATGTGGTAGAAACTGCGGATTATCATGTAATTATAAGTTTAAATGCTATAACCATTTTTTTAAAAACAATAATATAAAGTAATTTTTACAGTTTTTTATAGTAAAAATTTTTTATTACAAAATCAAACTTTGTTGAATAAAAGTTAGTATTGTACAAATAATAAAAAATATATGTATACCTAGCACAAATATTGTTTGCGTACCATAGTAAAAATTAACTTTTTCCATGGCTTAAGCACTGGTTTAATAAAAATTACTTCATTTATGTGAAGTAAAATTAGTATTACCTCAGTAAAAGTTATATCGGAATATTGTTGCGAGAATCCACCCGAAAATACAAGACATAGTAGAATGTAATTTAAAATTGTATTAAAACTTAATATAAAGTTTTCTCCGTGTATAATTGCAAACATTAAATATAAGTAATAATGTCTCCGTAATATAAAAATAGTTTAAATGTCTTTTTCTGATAAACAATTATTTCAACATGCTTTCGTTTTTCAACACACGCACACACACACACACACACACACACACACACAAATTATTTCTTTGAAGAACTATTGAATAAACCATATATTAAATCCAGAGTTGTGACCGTTACCTCAAAAAAGTAATGCGTTACCGTTACTTTTTGAAAAAATTAACGCGTTACTGTTACTTAAAATGTAACGATTCGTTACTTTTTTTCATATAATGCCAAAAATTATTAGATTTTAAAATTATTATACATTAACTGATAATTGATATATTAAATGTGAAATAAATATTTAAACTTGAAACTACTAAAAATTTACAGTATACATATGTATTTATAAATTGTATATATGTATATATAAAATGTAATATACATGAAAATATATATATATATGAATAAATATACATACAATATATATACAGAGAGGGGCATTTAAAACAAGTCACCTGAATAACTCGCTTGTTTTTCACAATAGAAGAAAAAGTGTCAAACAAAAGTTGCTTGGTTTCGAGGAACACATAATGTAATGTCAATAATTGTTTTTTTGGTGGAGGCGCTAAAAAGATACGAAGGTCACCTCCACTTTTTTAAATGGAATTATGTAATTTTTTTAGATAACGTGATTCCTCTAATTATTTTGCATATAAAAGTATTAAGGTAGAGATACCAAAAAACCAATAATTTTCGAGATATTTTAGACTTTATTTTGATACATATTGACACAAAATGTTAAATAACTCGTAAACTGTTGACTTTTTGATTATCGTACCTTAAGACTTTTGTGAACAGAAAAATGAGGTAAATCAAATGGTGTAAAGAAAACACAGTTGCGTATTTAAAAAATAATCCATTTTGTATACATATTTTTTTTAAAGCAACTATGTGTTTTTTTACACCATTTGATTTATCTCATTATTCTGTTCACAAAAGTATTAAGGTACGATAATCAAAAAGTTAACACTGTACGAGTTATTTAACATTTTGTGTCAATATGTATCAAAATAAAGTGTAAAATATCTCGAAAACTATTGGTTTTTTGGTATCTCTACTTAATACTTTTATATGCAAAATAATTAGAGGAATCACGTTATCTAAAAAAAATTACATAATTCCATTTAAAAAAGTGAAGATGACTTTCATATCTTTTTAGCGCCTCCACCAAAAAAACAATTATTGACATCACATTATGTGCCTCTCGAAACCAAGCAACTTTTGTTTGACACTTTTTCTTCTATTGTCAAGAACAAGCGAGTTATTCAGGTGACCTGTTTTAAATGCTCCTCCCTGTATATATAGTATGGCTCATTTTAATCGACGCACCCGAATATCTCCTAAAATACGCCAGCTATAAAAAATGTTTCAAATAAAAATGGAATGGTGTCGAGGGGGACACGTTTTAGTTATATTGTTTTTTTTCTAAGTGGAGGCGCTAAAAAGATATGAAGGTCACCTCCACTTTTTTAAATGGAATTATGTAATTTTTTTTAGATAACGTGATTCCTCTATTTTGCATATAAAAGTATTAAGGTAGAGATACCAAAAAACCAATAGTTTTCGAGATATTTTACACTTTATTTTGGTATATTTTGACACAAAATGTTAAATAACTCGTAAACTGTTGACTTTTTGATTATCGTACCTTAATACTTTTGTGAACAGAATAATGAGATAAATCAAATGGTGTAAAGAAAATACGGTAATTATTTAGATTAGGGGGACACCTCACCGATGACCTTGACCTTGACATATGTTGTCAAGGTCATGATTCTGAGTAACTTTGCCTTAACAACTAGGCGGCGGACTCTTATCATTTTTGAGATATTAAGCGTTGAAGTTATTTTTAGTGAAACCGGTAAATCTTTAGATCAGGGGACTCTCCACAATTACTTTGACCTTGACATATGTTCTCAAGGATACGACCCTGAGTAACCTCAAACAGGTTTTAACCGTCGCTCGTCATTCGTTAAAAAGTTATTAACAATCATAGTTTTAAAATTAACATATGATATATGTATAATACATGTATGATATTAAGTACTATTCTACACCTTTCCCTGTTTAGAAACGTTAAACTTTCCACGCGAAGTAACTTTAACCCCCCCCTCTCCCCTCTTCACAGGGGCACTCGATTTCTACGATTGTACTGTTGCTATGATAGTACTGTCGGGGCAGACCTCTGTCGACGGTGTGGGTGCGGGGGGGTGGCCGAAGGCCGCCCTCTTGCACCCGCCCGTGTGTGTGTGTGTGTGTGTGTGTGTGTTCCATTCGTTATAACGATTATGAGTCTATTATTTGATATTTTATACACACGGACGGACGGACGGACGGGTGCAAGGGGGCGGCCTTCGGCCACCCCCCCGCACCCACACCGTCGACAGAGGTCTGCTCCAACAGTACTATCATAGCAACAGTACAATCCATGGTGGAAGTATACATGGTGTGCTTAGTTTTGCGTTGTCTCATTCTAAAATCTCCCTACTCTCTTTTCTTGTCGCCGAAAAAAATAGGCCTGCCACCACAAAAAATATTCCTAGAATAGTGGGTATTTCGCGCTGTTATGTTGCAAATCACACTAGGAAGCAGCACATGTATACACACAGACACACAATGCATATAAACATTGACATCTCTACTTTAATATCTAATAATTGTAATTAAAGTATGTATATATTCACATGTGCATAATAAGCTAAGCTTATAAACTAAGCTTACATGTGCATTGCAGCATGAATCGGTGTCTTCTTCGACACTAGCTGTATTTCCATTGCCGAATGTAGACTCCAATATTTCAGATAGTTTTAGTAGTTAATTTAATATAAGTAATAGACATTATTAAGAAAAACACTTTACAGATTTTACATAAATTGTCTATATCAATTTTACTCAATGTGCATGTATGCATACGAGTAAAATGTATATTTTTGGAGTCTCAGAAAAAGTAGCAGAAGAAGACAATATTATAATGTTTCAACAAAATCGAAGTAAAAATAAACATTGACATAAATTTGACTTAAAGTTATTAAATATTACTATTATCAACACTTACCATTTAGAGTATTGGATGGAATTACACTTCCTCCTATGTTTTTAAGCCACCCTTCACGCATAATGGCATTATTCGGCAACTTGTGGAAGCTTACTTCCTCCGGAGTACACGTTATGTTGGTGTTCTTACACGCTTTAACAATACACCGCACCATTTTACTTCAAATTTTCACTTTAATTTCAAAATAACAGGCCTGCACGTTTCTTTCAGGAGACGGCTAAAGACATACTTAGGGTGCGTTCCGAAATTTGCTGACAGTGCTGACAATACTGTTTTCTCGTTCCAAAATTGGTTCAGCCACGTTTCAGCTCTGCTGTAACTACTATCTTTTTCAAGAAAGTAGGTCCTAGGGAATTACTGACTTCCGGCTGATTTTGCACAATTTCAGAAGGTAGTGCAAGTTCAGTAATGCATATGGCTACTGGCATAT